TGGTTCAGGGAACAAATCAAAATGAATGGAGTTAAAAGCATTATCAAATCAATTTCAAATTGATCTTTCTGTTGTCCTGAAATCTTGCTGCCTGCCTACTCTCAATTCTGAAAGAGAACAGAACATAATGGACAACAGTCAACCCAGTGAGGTGGAGCAGCCAACAATGACATCAACTGAAAAACATGACTGGACACAGTAGGGGAACAAGTAGCACTTAAAAGCTCAGGACACATTGCAGCTAGCAGCACAGCCCTAACCTCAGAGGAGAGAGAGAAGTATCTCTCATGAGGATACAAGGTAAGTGAATATCAGGCTTGGTGCACATCAGTGACATAGCTGGGCCGATAAAGAACTTGTGCTGGTAAACCTGTGATTCTCTGGTCATGTGTGTGCACCAAAAAAACTTAACTTGTACATGAAAGACTCAAAGAACCAAGTAAAGCCAAAAAATCCATGATGTTAAATACTGCTGTGGATCAACACTGCAATACACCTGGGCAAATCTTACATAATTGAAAAAAACTCAACTGTAGGGAATGGGCCTTTAGGTAGAACATACCGTTCTCAAAAAGGCTGCATGAGACACCTCCTCCAGCCACAGCATATTAAGTCTCTGTGCAGAGGCACAGACAAAGGAAGGAGAAGATGAAGGAAGGACCTGGAAAGCAGGTTGAGGGATGGTGGTTTCCCCCCTCTACTCCGCTTTCATAAGACCCAACCTAAAGTACTGCATCCATTTCTGGGTTCCCCAGTACAAGAAAGAAATGGACCTGTTAGACTGGGCCCAAAGAAGGGGTACAAAAATGGTCAGAGGGCTGGAACACCTCTCCTGTGTGAAGAAAGGCTGAGAGAGTTGGGGTTTTTCAGCCTGGAGAAGAGAAGGCTCCAGGGAGGCCTTATTGCTATCTTTCAATATGCAAGGGGAGATTATAAGAAAGATGGAGAAGGACTTTTTTCCAAGGCCTGTAGTGACAGGACAAGGGGCAATGATTTAAAACTGGAAGAGAGTAGGTTTAGATTGGACATTAGGGAGAAATTGTGTGTTATGAGGATGTTGAGACTCTCTAACAGGTTGCCCAGAGAAGTTGTGGAGGCGCCATCATTGAACGTCTTCAAGGTCCAGTTGAATGGGGCCCTGAGCAACCTGATCTAGTGAAAGATGTCCCTGCCCACGGCAGGGGGAGTTGGATTAGATGAAATTTAAAGGTCCTTTCCATCTCAAACCATTCTATGGTTCTATGAACCCATTTCTAATAGCAGAGTCCTGTGGAATCTATGCCGAGCCCTCCTGCAACCTCTGTCTTTGTGGAGACGTAATGTCTCTATTCCTGGTGCTGCAGTGATGGACAGCTGAATTTTTAAGCGAATGACTCACTACAATCATGCAGAAACATGGTAATAGGGTGTCACTCAGTTGTACCCTAATTTATCATATCTTTTGCCTCATGTCTTTCTATCATCACATGGACAGCTGGTCTGGAAAGCAAGCTATTAATCAATCTCTGCTGGTCAGAGGAGGCCAGTAACAATTCTTATTCAAATCATTTAGGTTGTCATTCACATTTCTCATTTCAGCATGCATTTAATCTGAAAATACTCATCTTCCTTCCTTGTGCTTTACAGCCACTCAGTGCTCACTGTCAGACCCTGCACATTCACAGAGTCCAGCTTACAACTCTCTGAAGCCAGAGTTACTAGCAAGGGCTTATGTCCTGACAGTGATTGCCTAGGTAGCAACAGTGGTAGAAAAATAGTAAGGAAAAGAAGAGAAAGAAAGAGGAAGGAATAAGCAGTTCAGCAAGAGGTGTCAAGAGGTTCAGGCTGAGATGGAAGCATGGACAAACCCAAAAGGAAGAGATGTGTGTGAACAGATAATTTGCGAAAGGGGAAAGAAAATAAGGTTAAAATTGGTAGAGTCTCTTAAGGACATATGAGAAATACTGTATATCAAAGGAAACATTCAAAATGTTATTGGGGTAGAAAATGATAGCCAAGCAAAACATTGGACAATTACTGAAGAGTAGGGCTGAAGCTATCAGTAACACCAGAGGATATTTAGGATCTGAAAAGTGTAACAATGACAGAAATTCCTACATTTGGTCAGAAACTGTGGGAAGAGACATTTCAGTGAAAATCTTGGTGGAAGTCACAGTGAAAGATGAAGTCACAGAAAATGCATAAGAGGCAAGTGGCTCACATTATGAGTTTGAAGGTGATGGAAGGTGAGGGTAATTCACTTGCTAAATGGCAAGTGAATGGAAAGCTGCAATTGATGGAGACTTTCTGAAGATAAACATTCCTGTACTTCCTAGCTACACCTAAATAGGTGCTGTCTTAAGTTATTGGGGTGGGGGGTGACCTCTTGAGGCAGGTGGATCGGAAGCACAGATGAACACTGGATGGTCAAAGAAAATAAGATCTCAGGATCCTCCAGCAGTAAAAAGAAAAGAAGAGTGGGGGAGAGAGAGGAAGTGAGGGAAGGAGCCACTCCAGAGCTCCAGCAGCCAAAAGAAGGAAAAGTGGTGTATGGAAGAGAACTGAGAGATAAGATTTCTATGTTTGTTAATTTGAATCTCAGCACACTTAACATGGAAGAACCAGACAAGTGCAAACAAAGCAACATTTTGCAGCGTGTGAACAGAAAGAGAGGAAGGGGAAAACAGTTCTTGACTGTAAAAGAATGAAAGTGGATGGACTTGTGCAATATTAATAATATAGGAATATGCTTCAAGGAGTGAATTACAACCAAATCTAAAAATGTCAGAAAATATATTTAGAAATATAATAGAAAAAGAAATTAAAGAGCAACAATATGAAAAAACAATCTGTCATTTTTTTACCACTGGAATCCCAACAGATGAAATCCAACAATTTTTAGAGAGCAGTGTTAGTAGTGGCATGACTGTGAAATGAGAAGACTAAAACTCTAGAGACCAGCTTCACCTCACCAAGTTCAGACAGCTGTGAGTGAGAAAAGATGCTCTAGTCTCCCTTGAGGCACTTCAGAGGTCAGCTCAGACCTTGGTGGATTTAATCGTCACTTTATGCCATGTTTCCTTCTTTCCCTTTACTTATGAGAAAGCCCAGGACAACAGGACTCCTGATTTGGCACTTATTCTATGATTTGGGGGAAAGAATTAGGAATAAGCTCAGCTCCCTGGAACCACAAAAATCACAGGGTGAGCCTTCTGAAGTCCTGTCAACAGACGCTGTCCAGTGCAATTCCAAACACGGCACAGCATTTTCTCATACAACTCCTTTCACCTGCAGAGAATCATTAGTAACTGAACTATTAGATTGAATGAAAGTGGAGAAGTTGAGTTTGCTTGAGACTACAACTGATTCATAAGTTTGTGAGCTGGCTTTCCTTTCTATTCGTTGTTTCAAAATTTGGAAAATAACCTTAAAGCATATGGGTTAAAATTAATTAATTATTTTCTGCCATTCTCTTTGGACAAAGTTATTTAGACTAAAATGGAGAGTTTATTCAGATAAATTTGTTTTCGTGTGATGTGTGTGACCTGGAGCGTCACTGTCACTGTCACACTGTCACTCAGTGTCATCCAGAGTGTCTCCTGCATGGTAAAAAAATTGGACACTGGCTCAAGTGTTGAGGTGATCATTCGTTTAAATGTGAGGTGCTCTAGCCAGCAACAAAAATTAAAATTATCACTGTATCCTTCCTAATAAGGAAGAATGGAATTTTTGCCTATAATTTCCATAATGTGCAATATAATTAGCAGTATTAACATTGAAGCCTTGTCATTGAATAATGTAAAATATGAATGACATAAACAGAGGAGATATTTTTAATCATGAAAGATGATTAATTTTGGTTCCCAGCTACTTAAGTTATAACAAATATGACCCAGCTTTTCAGTGTTTTTATCTGCTTTCATGTCCTTTAAACAAAATTAAATTTAAAATTATTCCTTATCTACGCATTCACATTATTGAATTACAATGAATGTTATAAATTATTATTATGGTTGGTTGGACATTTGAACTAGAATTTTCCATATATGCCTACATTCTGCATGACAAAGACCTTGACGAAATATTTCCGGTAGTCAGAATTTTTCAGGTACACAAAGATTATGAAGCAATATGATTTTTCTTACAGAGAAATAACAAATATATTAAAATGTGCTATTGTTCATACCAGCTACTCTGTTAATATTAAGAATCTAAGAGTAATTTTTAAAATAAAGCGATAAAAAAATCTAGAAAGAGAGCGTTTAGGACAAATACTACTCACCTGTTTTTAAAATACCATATGGTATGTATGCATTTATACATCTAAACTGGAAATACTGCTTAACACATTACTGAAAAATCAACAAGTGAGGTTTTCACTGTCAACATTAAAATAATTCATCTGCAGGTACAATTCCTATGACACTGTATATCAAGAATTTTAGATTCTTTCATAATATTATTTTTGCTACTTTTTCAGAACACAGACATATCACTGTCAGTGAATATGAAATATTCCACTGTCAGTGAATATGAAATATTCAGAAATATTGCTGTTCATTATTAACTTTAGGTAAAATACAACATTCTCAGTAAAACATCTAATACAAACATCTAATACATTTGTACTAAATACAAAGTAAATTTACCTAATTTTTCAGTTTTTCCTTTAAGTGTCTCTATTCTTCTCTAATGAACACCAATGGAAATTGGGATATACTACAGCACTTATATTTATGCTATTAGGTGTATTTAATCTACTTCATTTTTAGTGTTTCTGAAGTTTTAAAATAAACATTCACTAACATATTCAATATTTATATAGCTTTTTTCTTGCAAAAAAATCTATAAGCTATTATAATTAATAAATAATGTCAATAGTCTACAGTGACATCATGTTAAAAAATCAGGTGGAACAGAAAGTTTTAAACTGTCAAGATTTATTTATATTAATTATATTGTATTATATTAATGTTTATGTTATGTTATGTTATGTTATGTTATGTTATGTGAAGGCATACCCCCACAGACATCTCCGTCCGCATTTTCACACTGTCGATCATCACATTCACAGTTCTTGCCATGAATTCTGTTGTCTCCTGGAGGGAAACAAGTGCATTGGCCACATTCACATCTCCCTGTAAGGATAAACAATTGTTAGAGTAATGATTTCAGTAAAAATAAAGGAAATAAGAAACAAAACTTATTCTACACCCCAACCCCTAAAGGCAAACTACAAGTCAGTCCGTATTAATTAAAGTATGCACATAAACACTATTAAAAAAAATACAAACAACAAAACTGCCTCTCCTCCATGGCAACCAGAAGCAAAGTATATCACTATTATGTCTTGGTGGAAACAGCAACAATAAGCAATCACTGGCATTGTATGTTTTTCATATCTCAATTTTGCATAGCAGAGCTATGGCACATGTTTAACTGTATAATTAACCTCTATAATTTATCTAAAATATTTAGCACGTATCTCAGAAACTCCAAAATGAATGTGATTAGAATTAAATAGTCTATGCACAGGGCTATCTAAGGTACTCTATTCATGTAGAAACATAACTCTTCAAATACTCTGTCAGGCATTTGGAAAGCAAAAATCCCTGTAATTTTTCTTGTCTAGACCAGCGGAAACAGAAGTTGAAAGCACAACCTCTGTCAGTCTTCCCTTCCATCAACCTGTTCACAGGAGAATTCTCCAGAGCTTAAATGGGGACTAGACTAAGCCAAACTGCCCCAGATCTTCCGCTCCAAGGCCCTCAGAGCAGTGACTATTAAATAGTTGGATGAGAAAAAAACTAAGATCAAGGACAGTCTTACATTGCACATATATGGGACAGACTCAGTTCAAGGTAACATAGCTTTTGTTATTTCCTAGCTTTTAAGAGTTTGCATCCATATTTTTAAAATTGTTTTAATGCAATACTATGGTTAAAATGCTCCAAATATGACACAAACCATGGATCAAAGTAATACATTTGATGAGCTTGGGAAAAGATACTGTGCATAAAAAAGGGCCACCAGAGACATGGGTTAGGATGCAGAAAAGCCTGTTCTTCTCGATCTAATTTAATCATAGAAGCAGTGAGACTCAACCTGGGCCTGGACACTTCTCTACTGTCTGCAGAACCCAAATTTACAATCAGAGAAACTATAACTACAAAGCAAAAATATCCTCCAAGTGCAGCCTTTCATTAGGTAACCAAACAGTTCAGCATGCACAGTATTTTTTTCATCATTTGCTGAAATATTCTGCTGAATGGGAAAGGACTGTTAAGGAGAACCTTAGTGGGGCTTTTCTAACTGTAGGTTTTGTGACAATAAAACCTTTTAGGTCAAAATATGGCCAGATCATTGTTATTCTATTTTTCTTTCAACATCTAACCTAAATTTCTTACATTTGAATTTTCAAGAAAACCCAGTCTAAATAAGTTGGAGTAAGGGGGCGACCTGACTACTTCTGGAAAAACTGCCAGCTCATTTTATAGCTGCCATACTCTTCATCTTCCCAAGCATCAGTGTACATTGCACTTTCAAGCTGACATTCTATGTGCCAGGACTCAATCCAGAAGGACATTTTATGATCAACTTGAAGTGCAAGAATCTTAAAAAAGACATGATGATAGAGAGAATTAGCAGCAAATACTTCATGATAACTTTATGATATACGTAGTTTTAAAACTATGTTGCACTGGGAATTATATGAGGTTATTCCTTCCAGGAAGAAACTTATTATAGGAAGTGCATCTACCACATCATAAAATACAGTTGTCTTTGGTAATCGCATCAACATTTAAGATACGATTGTCCACAGAATGATTGATGTTATTTGTCTGCATTCTCTAAGCTGCAGTTATTTGCCACGGACAGTTACATTAGCAACTGGAACAAAATCATCTCTCAGGACTTAAATATACAGAAACTTCTAACAAGTCCACCTTGTCACTATTTGGGGCTCTCAGTCTCTCTCTATGCATCCACTTAACAAAAACGTCCCATCGCAGTGTCCCAAAGCACAGTCAGTCACCCATTGGCAGATGATGGGTCCTGATGAACAGAACCCACCTGTTGTGAAGACTCTATACAATAAACAAAAGAACCTTCTTTAACAGCGGTACCCTGGCCAGCTAATGCTATAATAAGGAGGATTCCTGAAGGACAATAAAATCAGTTTAAGCAAGTTGCTTTGAAGAGAGGAGTCAGCAGAGATGGAAAATCCTCCAGAGGGATGAGGGAAGGAAGGTTCTGTAATGAGGCTCCTGCATGTTCTGTAATTAAGCATTACCTCCTGTAATGCTTAATTTAATAAGTCAGAATGAGCTGAGAGCCCAGTGGCTGGTCACTTGCACTGGAATGGGAATAGGTTCCTCTCAGTCCCTGCTGCAATTAATATTTATTCATTTTAGTTAGTGTCCGAGTTTCACCAGCAAAAAAACCTGAGGAATATCCCATCCCTCAGCAGACAGGGCACATTTTTGTCATATAAGAGACACAACCTCAGGTTGTCTTCTCAAAATCAAGCACAAAGGGGATTTAGGCCTTACTTTCTCAATCTTCTCATCTTGGCTAATGAATAAAACACCAATGCATATATTCAAAAAGCCCAAATGCCTTGTTGATATCTGTGCCTCGTATTTTATTTTGGCTGGTTCCCACCTAAGCTCAGAGTATGATTTAGATCACCTGGCTGCAGACCTCAGCAGAACTGAAAGTGTCTTGAAAATGGACAGAAACCTCACTCAGTAAGTGCTCTGGAAAAGGAATTCTCCGAGCTGTTTCTTTACTTTTAAATATTTGAAGATACAGTTACAGTTGTTTAGTACACTGCTGCTGATACTCAGATTATTATTATCCTTTTATTTTACAAACGTGACAAAATCAGCACTAGGAACACGAGAAGTGAATTCAGTGGTGTCACTAAATAATTGCAACTTTGTACTGGCTTAAAAAGTATATTTTACCTCCAAAAGTACTGAGATTTTGGTTAGGTTATGTAAGGTGGACTCACTCTGTGGAGAGAATTTAACAGAGAATTAAAGTCCTTTTGCTTCTGAACAGCTAATTACATAGGATGTGGTAAATTTAAATTTCAAAGGCTCAGTTTACCACCATGTAGATAAACACACAAGTTAACAGCATTCTGCAACAATAAATTTCAGGCTGCTTCCTCGGGAAAACCAGGAGTTGATATTTGCAGGGTAAGTTTGCTTCAGCCACGCTACTACTTAGTCAGATGTATCTGCTACCGAAATAACAGAAGCCACACCTTATTCTGTGACCTTCTGCTCTTAGTTATTGTGATAAAATACTTACCACACAAATTCAGCTGTTCAAAAGTAATTTGAAGCTCACTGGAAGGGATCAGCACTTTACTAAACATACTCTTTCTTTGTCTAGAATAATGGGTTTACCATAGCAACCTGATTATAGAGGGAAAGCTACTGCCAAACATATCCTAAGTTCTCTTTAAATTCCAGGGCATACAGAAACAATTAAACACAGGAGGACTATAATATTCTGCACCTTCTCAACCGTCTGTGCAAGAGCTACACTTTATGAGTAAAAAAGAAACAAGTTCACCTCAGGTATTTTATAGCAAGTGGCTTCCTCTCCTCCTTGCTAAACAGGGACACTAAATTGCATCATCTGATGACTTCAGATGAAGGAATCTTCATGATGGAGGTTGTATTAGCTATCAGCAATGAAAAGCTTTACTTACTTATTGCAATTCAAAATTCCAAAAATAGAATAATTAT